GCTAAAAATTTATATTATAATAAAATAACTGGATTTTTCGGGTTTTCAAATTATAGGGCGGTTTCATAAAAGTGCTCCTCTAAATAATCAACTTATTTTTAATGAATTATGTGGAGAATTTATTGATAGTTTTATGTGAATCATGTCTCTTTTCTTAAATTAAAAATGTGTGTCTTTATGTGTATATTTTTTTATAGGTTTGTTTGATGTTGGACATATAACCCATACTGTTTTCCTGGTTATTTATTCACTAGCTTTGACTGTACAATTTAACAATAACTGTTGTGGTAATTCTGTCTCATTATTTTTTGCTAAATTGGTTTGAAATCTGGATATTTTAGACTGCGGTGACTGATGAGCATACAATAGTAACCAAAATGAGTATTGTGTTTATTGCAAGGGATTCTGTTAATATTTTTAAGGTTTATGAAGAGACTGTTGCTAACTTTGATTTTATCACTTTAGTCTAATAAAATCGCCTTAAGTCGCCTTAAATCGCCTAAAGTTGCAATGTTTTTTTCAGCCAGTTTTGCTTAAGTCTCCTTTCGTTGCTTTAAATCGCCCAAAGTCGCCCAAAGTTACGCCGACTTAAAGCCCCAGAGTAGGCCTGAAGTCTGGCAAGAAGTAGGACATCACGAGGTATTATCTAGGTCATCCAGTAAGGTATAACCTGCTTTGAGGCCCAACACTCTACTTGGACATCGGCCTAATTGATATCAAAAGGAGAGCGATCTGTAGCTGAGAAGTGAAATTGCTTATTATTAAAATAAGAATCCCGCTTTATAAGTTTGTTACGAAATCTTGAAGTAGGCGAAATTTCAATGAATTAAATGCGAGTTGTTTTCACGACACCAGATTCGAAAGAGGACACTGACTTAGTTTAGTGTGACATTAGTGATGATCATGTGCACATTGTCAGATTCTTCGCACATGTTACACGCGGACCCACGTGAAATGACACGTGTTTTAGCGATTCATTATGTAATGATTTGTTTGTACAGTCGACCTTTGATCTAATCGATTGACATTTAAAACTAATTGATGTACATTAACTTGATCAGTGCTTTTCGCGAGACAAGGCACATTCGTCGACATCGACATCTAGGTTAGGTTGTACTGTAAATAGGCACAAATCAGATTAAATCAATTTCAATTACAGTAATTCACTTGACTCTGATGATGACTTCCGCACAGGTTGTCGAAACGTCAGTCACTACCACCGACAACAGTCCTTCTCAGGACTACACTCACCCGGACGATCAGACTACACCTTCTTCAATTACAGTATACGACTCGAAGTTTATTATACACATAATGATTTTCTTACCCGAACTTTGTGCGCTTCGAGCTGTTTTAAGACGATCTTCAACTCGGAAGCAGCATTGCTTACTGATGAAATAAAGAATGAAACTGAATCCTTGGACGTAAGTCAAAACATTATAAAAGCAGCATTTCGATCAACTGATACGGATTATTTTATGGACCACATATTTGACCGAGGATAACTGAATGTCATTTGACATGATTTAATGATTAATGATTCACTACCTCAAACGCTGTAAGCTTCGAGCTTTGTGAGAATGATCGGCAACTCAGATGCAAAGTTACATAATACTAAAATTAAGAGTAAGAGAATTGTTTAGACAATTGTACAGATATCCTAAAAATGTGGACATTTCGCTGAGCTTAAACCGCATTGTATCAACGACTACATAGAGGTACAAAAAGCATTACGAAAGAGGACAACGGAGTGTTGTAATGTTTTGACGCCTAGAAGTAGGTGACAATTTAAAGGATGAACTAACTGCGAATCATTCCTCGAGCATAGGCTAAAGATGACCCCTTCAACGCTTGGAAAACCTTATCAAAATGAGGCCGGTTCAGAAACAAACAAACAAACAAACAAAAAAACCGGGAAAAAGTACTGAATGATTCGATCGACAAAAGAACGGAACTTTAAAGAATCACTTGAAAGAACCCAGTGCGAGTACGATTTACCACGAGTATCGTGTTGCGTAACAAAAGGTGCTGCTTAATAGACTCCTGTAATAATATGTTGAAACAATGTTAATGGTGCGGGCTGATCACTATTCTACGAGGTAGTTGGTAGCTTGCACAGCCATGAAATTACTTACTGGTTTAGCCAATCAGCTACCGGTTATTTTGACTTGAGATTGGAAAACTGAGCTCACAATAGGACTTTCCGTGAAGTTAATTGCGTTCGATCGATAACTTTCACAAGATCGTACTCTTGTGAACGAGCCACGTTCTTTTCTATCGAATCAATTTCATTTAGTGGCTTTCTTGAATATTGAATGAATTCTAACTGTCACAAAACACGGCTAAATCTGTCGGTAACGCATTTTAGAAAGCACAGAGACAAACAGCAGTTGTCGATCTATTCCCCACTAAAAAGTACTTTATGGCGCGAAATGAGTGAGTGAACTTCTCGTTGAGACATGGAAGCGAAACCTAGATTTGAAAAAATGTTAAATATACTAAGAATTTAGAAACTTTGAATCCCTTGGCAAGGAAGCTTAATGGAGAATGGCAATTTCGCGATTCGAAAGACGTTCAAGTCCGGTAACTTTCAATGGATTGTCTTTACGTGTGTCAGAATAATTAATTACAAATTGTGTAGCAAAAGTTCAAGTTTACTAGACTAATAGCATTTTTTTATGGAAGTTGTTCCACGAATTATTCCAACATTTGATGATTAATTCACCTCGTAAATACAGTTGTAATTAGCTGAGTTTCAATAACATGGTTTGCTTCAATTTAGCAGAAATCCTGCGCAAAAATCAAAATTGTAACGAAATCGTTGTCTGTCACAAAATTGGCAGACTGAGTAAGGTGATACAGTTTCTTGTGCGGCCATAAGTCAAGTCCTCGCTTGTCTTACAATAAGCGCTACGGTATTACATTCTTGACGGAAAAATTTGTAAAATCTTCTTGCTTTGAAAGAACGTTTACGCATCGCAGCCTTAATTATGTTACGAATTTTTTTTACAACGCGATCACGATTATTTGCACGTTCACTGGAGATGACTTGACAGTCATTACAGATGATAATAGTCATTTGATCGCTTTCTTAATATTCAGCGTTCGGCTTAATAAAAAGCGCGAAAAAGCGCGACAAAACCGTTAGCAGCATTTTCTGTCAACGATTTCTGTAGAATTTTATGCGTGTTTCTATTGCTGTGTTAACCACAGTGTAATCAGTTTATTTCTAAAGCGAAATCCAATGAATGTAACTAATTTTTACCGAAAATTACTACTGTGACAGAGCTTTACAAAAAGCTTGTACGCGTTGAGGGCTAAATGAACATAATACAGCCTCGGAAAAACATAATTTGCTAAAGATAACATCCAATTTGGTATGAAACATTACTGCTCTTTAAGCAGAAAGTCCCAGCTATCATTGTCTGTTTCATTTGGTGTTGACTTAAATAAAACAGGCAAACCTTAATTTGGCAAAGAAATGGCATATCTTCTTCCATGTCATTGGTTTGTTGAGGAACTTTAAGTTCCTGAAGAGTAACGTTCATATTACAAACCAAACCTGATTGGTTGACATAGTAACTTATTTCCCAAAAACCTCATTGAAAATGTATTTGAGATCTGATTGGTTTATTCAAGAACTAAGATACCCAAAATATCAAGTACATTTTAAAAGGTTAAGTACATTTTAAAATGGAGATGTGTTTATTGATTAGTTACATTCAGCAGCAATGTATGGTACAGATAAATATGCACTTGACCAAGAAATTGTAAATTCAGGCACATACCAGACTTTGTTGAAAATCTTTTGACATCTGGCTCACTTTTCCCCTGTTTGTTGACTGCAAAGAGTTTCACTTCATACTCTGAGTCATACTCAAGGTCAGTGATGCTGAACTGATTCGTAACAACGTTGAGACCAAATTTTCTGATTTCTGTTGTGAGGTTCTTCCACTCCAGCTCATAAGTAGGGCTCAGGTCACTGCTGTTGTTCACTGGTGCTAACCAGGTCAGAGTGAACTCCACATCAACTTCATCTTCTTTATTTGTAATGGTTGGTTTGTTAGGTGCACCTATTAAAATTGATGATTTCTGGTAAACTTTTTTTCTAGTTCATTTAACTTCCAAAGGGGATATCCGAACTACTTAATTTCCACATCAAAGACACAAGTATAATGTACATGTACATGCAAATTTATTCAGTTTTGTAAGTGATGCAAAAGCAGCTGTCTTTATGATGTAAACATACAAACAAACCGACTAAAAACAACAACAACAGTAAAAAAACATGCTCACATCGTCTGGTTGTTAAGTTGTAGTTCTGATAATTAGTCAGGTTTCATGTTGGTCTATTTTGAAACTGAATTATTCCATAAAATTCAGGTCATTTTCACATTTGTTTCTACGGTACATGTAGCCTGTGGCTATCTTTTTAGCCAAGGAACCTTAATAATATAAAGTGAAGAAATATATCATTCTCATCTGATGCATAACATGTTAACTGAAGTTGCATACCAGTCTTTGTTTTTAACATTCTGACATCTGGCTCACTCTCTCCCTGTTTGTTGACTGCAAAGAGTTTCACTTCATATTCTGATTCATATTTTAGACCAGTAATCTTGAAGTAAGTTTCAACAATGCTTCCATGCTCTTGCTTTTCTAAGAATCCTGTTGGAAATTTCTCTCTCCATTCTAGACGGTAAGTAGGGCTTAAATCACTGCTGTCAGCCTCTGGTTGTGCCCAGGTCAGAATGAACTCCTTGTCAAATTCGCCTTCTTTATTTGTGAAGACTGGTTTTTCAGGTAAACCTACAGTACCAAAATGATAATTCCTACATCTTAAACACATGTCCAGTACCACTTAATTTAAAAGTAATCAGTTTCAAGAAAACGTTTTTATTACTGAGAAGGGCAAACCTGAAATTAGCTTGAGTAGTATAAGCAAGAGGTGAAAGTGTAGTGTGATTGTCCGGGTGAGTGTAGTCCTGACAAGGACTGTTGTCGGTGGTGGTGACTGACGTTTCGACAACCTGTGCGGATGTCATCATTAGAGTCAAGTGAATAGTTGTTGTCAGTAGAATGTTCTTAGTCCAGTTCAAATAAAATGATTGGTCAGTTTGCCCTGATGTTTAGTTTATTACCTTCGCCAACCGGCAGGGACACTGCAACAGCTTGCGCCAATTACTGCGGGCCCAGTAAAGCCACCCATCCCAACCCAGGGGAGGACATCCATCACACAGTAATCTTGTGCATGGGAAATTAATGTCTCCTAACTCCAACCCTGCAGGAGACAGGACCTCCATTTATTCGTCCCCATCCGAGAAGACTAGAATATCTAACCATTTCTTGATGTTATACATAGGTAGCAAATTCTTCTCAATTATTTTAAGACCTTGAGTGTTGGTCCGGCCAGGGCTCAAACCCTCGACCTCTCGCACAACAGTCCAGCGCACTATCCACTGAGCTAACTGGGTGGTGGTTAATGTTACTGGCTGTAAGACTCAAGTGGTGTAGGTTGGTCATGATTGGTCTGTTTCAATCTGTTGGAAAAGTTAGGTATTTCTGTTTGGTTTGTTTGTAATGTTAATGTTGTGGATGAGTCGTTTGTATGGAGCTGCTAGTAGTTGACACCTGTTGAGGGGAGTCTGTTCTAAGTTAGTAAACCAGCTTTCCAGGGTTAGTCGTTGAAAGTAGTTAGTGCTGTAGGTTAGGCATTGCACAGAGTCTCAGTCATTATTGTGGTTTGTAAGTCAATGATGTTTAGCAATGTGATTGTTGACATCACCTATCCTTGTCACCTGTCTGTGTTCAGTCAATCCTGTTGCAAGATTTCTGCCAGTCTCTCCAATGCAGGAGGCTTGGCAGTAAGAGCAATTGATCTTATAAATTGCTCCCTGTATGTTTCTCAGTTCGTCCTTGTCTTTAATGTTGGTTTAAGTAACTGACATAGTGTGGTGATGGGTTTGAGGGCAATGTGGATATTGAAAGGTTGTGAAGTACTTTATCCACGTCGTCCACAAAACCCATCATCACAACTCAAAACATCTATGATCTGATGTAAAGCACATTAAATGAAGGTAAATACCAGTATTTGTCTTAAATGTTCTGACATCTGGCTCACTGTCTCCTTGTTGGTTGACTGCAAACAGTTTCACTTCATACTCTGAGTTATACTCAAGATCAGCAATCTTGAAGTGAGTTTCATCAGTTTTTGCATTTTGTGGCATTTCTGAGAATTCTGCTAGAAGTTTTTTTTTTGTCCATTCCAGACGGTAAGTCGCAGGCTGGAAATCACTACTGTTTGCCTCTGGTGGTGACCAGTTCAGAGTGAACTCCTTGTCAACTTCACTTTCATTATTTGTGATGGTTGGTTTGCCAGGTAAACCTATAAAAATATTTTGAATATATCAACAAAGTTGAAATGGTAAATTGGCCACCGTTATGGTTATAAAAGCTGACGTTTCGAGCGTTAGCCCTTCGTCGGAGCGAATTAGGCTAACGCTCGAAAGGGCTAACGCTTGAAACGTCAGCTTTTATAATCATAACGGTGGCCAATTTACCATTTCAACTTTGTTGATATATTCAAATTATTTCGTTACCCCCACCGACGCAGCCCCAAACAGTTTCTTTAGAAACTATCAGCCTCTATAAATATTATCAATATTAAAATTATATTTCTTCTAACAAATTTCTAAATGTATATGCACTCACATGTACATGCACTATACCTCAAACACTACCTTTTGTAATGTATTTCAGATGCATAACATGTTAATAAAAGGTACCTACCAGTCTTTGTTTTAAATGTTCTGATATCTGACTCAATGCCTCCCCATGTCCTGACAGTAAAGAGTTTTACTTCATACACTGAGTTATACTCTAAGCCAGTAATCTTAAAGTGAGTATCATCATAGATTGTTTGTTTACATGGTTCTGCTGTGGATCCCTTACTGTTTTTTTTCCACCATTCTATACGATATTCGAGGCTGAGACTTTCAGGTTGGTTGTGTGCTTCTGACCAAGTCACAGTGAACTCTCTGTCAACTTCACCATCTGCATTTGTGATAACTGGCTTACCTGAGAAAGTTGATTAATTTTAATCTTCTATTCAGGAATATTCTTTTTAGAAGTATTGAATTTGTTAGAAATATATTTTTGTACTACATGTTGACTATAACAGCAGATTGAACTTTATCATTTTGTTTTAAAAAACTGGGTTCTTGTTAAGGGCTGGTAACCAGCTATTTTTATTGGCTGTTCAAGAAAATTTAACTGCTATTTCACCAAAACCGGTGACTAAATTTTTACCCAAGTTATGCAATGTTGTTTTTCAATTTTTTTAAAAATATTACTTGTCTCCTTCAACAAATGTTGTGAAGGTATCTATCACATTACTAGTTCAGTTAAAATACATCATACAGTGTAATATGTTAAAAAAATCCTGCTTGTTTTCACCAAATTAATCCCTCACAGCAAATTGTGTTCGATTAAATTAGGAGCTGAAGAATAAGAAAGACACTTAATCACCTAAAAGTTCCTCAACATTTAAGTTCTTCCACCAGACTGGAACAGGTTGGTGTTCTTCATTATCCTCAAAGTTAAGAATTCCAACTGCTTGTAGTCGTTTGTCAACTTCTTCCAGTAAAACAGTTGAGCAATTTTCTTTAGCACTGGGTGGATTGTCATCTTTCCAGTCAACTTTCCCAGCTACATATTCATACCTTTTTTCTCCAATAAAAAAGAATTGGGTATCATTTTGCTTACAACCTATCCTGGGTTCAAGATCTTTGAGGACACTGGAACTTCCATGTTTGAAAAGGGGACCCTTAAGCTCAGGAGAGTGTGAATCAATGAAAATCACAACCAATCCAGAAGAAACATGATAGATATTGTTCTTCACCTGAATACTTGATAGTGGATATTTTTTTGATTTTGATTTTGATTTTGGTTTTATGAACTCCACCTGATATTTTTTAACACCACATTTCTCCTTTGGAATAAGTTTGCTGCTTGTTAGGATAAAGTAATTGCTCCAACCATCGGTTCTGACATCAGGATCATAAAACAAACATCCTCCGCCAACAACTGAAGTACATGTACCACCAGCTTCATCCTCTCGTGTTATCTTGCAAAGGGCTTTCCGTCTCTCTCTTTCACTTCTGGCAAGAGAGTCTGATGTTGATGCAGATAGCTTATTACGAACGTGTTCTGAAAAAATACAGTACACATTAACATACATGTACCGTGACCAAATACACAGTTAAAATGCACCATGGAAACAGGTTGCATCCACATACCAAACAGGCAGGACGAGAGACATTTAATTGAACGTTACAGACGTCAGACTCCTGTAACTTTAAACCTCAATGCTATTTATTTATTAATAATGAGGATAACAATATGCAACAATGATAATGATGATGTTGATAAAGAGTAATTTAAAAAACAGTACAATAGGTATTATTTTACTATAAATTGTCACGAGTATTGTAACTAAAATAAATTATAGCAGTCAGATTGTTTTGAAGAAGCTCCTAGGAATAGCTACTAACACTGACCTAGAAAACTACCAATTGAAGTGAGATAGTTCATTTGTTAATTATTTCATCGCTTTGTTTGATTTGTTTTGATTTGTATTTTTTTCAATACAGCTAAAATGTATTTATTCAGTTCTGCATTATAAATCAAGCTCATAATTTAGAAACTTACTCCACATTCAACTAGCAGTTATCACCCTTCAATCCTGTCTTGGACTGCACATCATTGACACTAATTTTACATGTAATTCAGCCTATGATGGATGGTTACATGGTATAGTGAAGATTTTGTTCTTTTCTCAATCAGATGATGGATATCTGTCAACTCTATACTGTAGACACAAAGTCTGAATAAAAAGGGAAGAACATTGTTAGAAAAATTAATGTTTGTAATGAAACCCAAAGTTACAAAAACCAGTAAAAGAACTATGACAGAGAACTTAAAGGGTTTGTATATTAAATTCCTAAGTGATTACCGATACCTCCAGTTTCTTTTAAAAATAGAAACAACTTATAATTATAAGTTTACTGGTACTTAATATGATTGTTATAACTGGTAACTATAGGAGTCAAGTTTCAATCATCTACATGATCAGTCTTCAAGCTAGTTGTAATCTATAGTTTTTGACAGCTTGTGTGACAAACGGAGGTTGTTCTATAGTAACCACAATAAAGAACATTGGAAACAGATGTTATCACGGTAGATGCTTTGATTTCCTTCTTTAAAGAGAATAGGCCATTTTACAGTTGTGTACTTAGTTGCCAAGCCTTTGATTCAGAGTGAGGCTGAAGGTGACCTTGTTGTGATAGAGACCTGTATCTACTTAGCATGATAACAACGTGATTTACACTTGAAAGGCAGCATGGTTTGTATCATAACAAGGTCAACCCTAGCCTCACTCCCATTCAAAGGCTTGACAACCAAGCACACAACTGTAAAATGGACTATTGAAGTTCTGATCAGGGCTTAAAAATCAAGAAAGAAGAACAGATCACCTATTAAAAATATCCTCTATTCGCTCTGACGAAGGGCTAAGGCTCGAAACGTCAGCTTTTATAACTGTAACGGTGGCCAATTTACCATTTCAACTTTGTTTATATATTCAAATTATTTCGTTACCCCCACCAACGCAGCGCCAAACAGTTTCTTTAGAAACTATCAGCCCTTATTGAAAATATACACACCTAAAATGTAAAACATTCTTCCAAGTGAGACGACATCATTCTCAAAAAAGCAAAGTTTAGTATTTCAATTACAGAAGGACAGTATTCATAATTCTTTGATTGTTAAGCGCATTATTTTTTAATGAGAAAATCTGTTCTCTCATGGAAAATTAATACCCAACTTGGGGTGTGTCTTATAGCTGAGTGTTTTGGTGTAACTGATTTTAAAAGCCCAAGTTTCCCCACTTATATTTGGCTATTATAAGAAGTCAAAACGATGACTGTTGTTTATTGATNAACTTTCAGAAAATTATTTGGGATAGTACTGCTGAATAATTGTATTTATTAAAAACTAGATCATTGGATAATGCAATTCAAGACTTTTTATTGGCTTAGCCATTATGGTATATCAGCCAATATACCATAATCTACAAATATGGTAAGCGTACGTATCAGCTTAAAATTAAAAGGGAGCTAAATTTAATAAAATTTAATAATTTAAGCTAACGTTTTTAATAAAACAATTATTCCACTCGCGCGCTTGTTGGATATGAGATGATTATAGCCAACTCGGCGCTACGCGCCTCGTTGGCTATCTATCATCTCATATCCAACGCGCGCTCGTGGAATAATTGTTAATTAGATCTAATATAAAAGCAAATGCCACCGCCAAATCTGCCATTGGCTAATCTGTCACGGCGGATAATATTGTAGCCCTCATTATCACAAATACTGCCATCAAGTTTAGTTTCATTAATAGCTAAAATGTCAACACACTTATTACTTAGAACAATACGAAGTTCATCAATGTGTTTAATAAGGCTTTTAATATTTAAACACGCCATTTTAAAACCGCGTCCTTTTGGCACTATTATGGGATGACGAATATCAGAGGCATTATTAGGAGACGAGGTCAAATTTGCTTCAACTTCAGTTAATGAGTGTAAAATACATCAATTAGTTAAGTGATTGACAAAATTGCTCGCTAAGATTCCAATACCTTTTTCTGTTGAGATGTAGTTTCTGACTATTGACGCAGTCAATATTCGAGTGTTGGACAAGAGCCCAACCGTTTTGGTTGCAAAGAGATTTGATGATTTTGTTGCATTCCGATACTTTTTTCCCGAGAGACTCATCCTCAAAGCGTTGCGTCAAGGCTGAGATTGTCGGACTTTAGTGCTTGGAGAGGACGAAGAAACAAGGTTTCCCAAGTCAACTAGCTTTTCGGCAACATCGCGCGGAGAGAAATCTCTAAGGTCGTTGGTACCCGCGTGACATTGTCTTGTCAAGAACATTATAATACGGATTTTTGCAGAAGCTATATTTGTTGCATATTGCATGCTTAAAACCACGATATTTGCATCACACGGATTCACTTTGCGATAAGCTTCATATGTGATGAAGAAATTATAGCCGTTGTTTTTCAACAGTCTTCTACATTAAGCATCCACTATAGCGTTGATTTGACCATAGAGCTCCGTGTATGGATGACCACAATTTTTTTGGTCAGCAGTGGTAGCCAAGGAGATAAGATGATGCAATCAAAATGGCAGAAAAAATCTGATCGGAGAGGCCGATCGGAGTAAACACCAGAAGTTTTGTAGCCTTGTGCTGAGGTCCCCACTCTAACTCATAAAGAAAGTGGCACCCACGATAGCGCACGGGAGAATTAACATTTCTAGTGGCACTTTTTGAGGATTCAGGCAAATGTTTGTAGCATGAAATGCCACTTTGATGACGACCTCCTAAGTTGCACCAGGTATTTATTGTTTTCATCCTTTCTTAATCTAATTAAGGGGTCCAGGAGAGAGTCTAAAAGGGGGTCCAGAAGGGGATCCAGAAGGGGGTCTAGAAAGGGGGTTCCACGTTTTTTACCTTCCCCTGATTGGCTGTTTTTTTTAATCTCATGACATTTTAAAGTATCCTACATTTCAAAGGGAAAGCAAGAAACTTAGAATCTCTCTTTCTTTTCTTAGAACTGTATTTTCTCTCAGAAGTTCATATGCAGTAACGATGAATCAAAAAGATTACATGCTTTTAATCTGAAAAGAACTTCATGTGTTGCTCTGCAGAAACTCTACCAAGCGCTGAGTACAACTCTACATAATTTCACCAATAACCTAGTGTGCTCATGATATACTGAAGCGCAGTCCATGTTGATTTCGTTATTCGTCGATGAACTGTTTTTTTTTTCGAAGGTCACTGCTTGTAATTCGGTGCATGACCCAGGTAACTTTAGCCTATTCCCAGCGCTCACTTTGGGAAAGAGCCGTAACACAGAGTTCGATGGTAGAAGCGAAGCGAAGCGAATGAAGCAGGGAAATTTTGGTCCCTCCTTTCTCGCTGCGCTGCTCCTATCTCACTTTTTACTGCCGCGTTTCATTTTGGTGAATGAACGCCTGGGACAGGTTTGAGCTAACAGACAGCAATTTACAATCGCTCCTCCCAACATGCATGTTGAACACTCAACAATAACTAGCCTAACTAGCCGACCTGTTGGAACCACAGCGGTAAAAAGAGGGGCATGCGCACGGGCATTAATTTCAGCCAGCCGCGCGCCAATTTTCCCGCGCAAAATTTCAAAGGAAATATAAGACACAGCCGCTGTCAGTCCTGTCACTGCTGTCACCAAATATTCGCATTAAAAAAAATAATTTGATTCATTCATAGAAATCTGTAAAAGGAAACAAAAGCAGGGAAAAGGAAAATTCCAGACTAAGAGAATATCAATTCTCTTGTCGAGACATACACAACGCGTCTTCGATTACGGGTTTCTGCTGATTTTCCACTTTGTTTTGAGATTTACTACACAGAAGAGTAACGGTTTTCAAACACTGCA